CTTTGGTCTAGGTAATAACTGTGCCCTTTGTATCCTTGGCAACATACAATAGAGGAAGTTTACAAAGCACTGACCTGCCCACTTTTACCTGCCACAATGCCAACAAATCAGCGCTGTGGCCATTCCAAGTTTGTAGGAAGTGGAGAGTCAGCCTTGACATGGAGGCAAACTCACTGCCAGGGAAGTGAACTAAGTTACTGTTTTCAGTCATACCGACAAAACAAGGTGAGCCTGATTTTTCTAAATCAGTCTACAGCAGTAAATACAGTGAACGTTGTTTACTTTCGAATCCAAGTTTGGACTTATGAAGCTTTAGCATTAGGGAGAGATTAGAAATGTTTCCATTGACGTAACAACAAAAGATCAGAGAGTTTTAGGCTATTATGTATTAACCTCATTGTGTACAAAGTCACATTTAGTGTGTGCAGTCATTTCCTGCTTAAAATATGTCAGTGTAATTTGCAAATGTATTGCATAAGACCTACTTACACAAGGCACCATGTTTAAGGCATTTTTTTCACTGCATAACACAATCAAGAACTTACGTATAGAGCAAGCTCAGACTCTGTTTTTAACCTGAATATTGCTAAGTTAATAGAAAGAGATATTTTTAATGTTTGATGTGAAGTGTTTTTTAGCCCATGTTTTGTTTTCCAGTACAGGACTTAGTGCCATGGATACCATCTTTGCTACCGTGGCTTGCTGCCTCCTGGCTGTTTCTTTTGCTGAGGCACACACAGAAAAAATGAATTTGACTATCATGCCAACAACCACCACCCCTGGCTTAAACTTGAATCACACATCTACACTCGTTACATCATCTAACACCACTGTACATGCAACTGTTATCTCAAACATAAGTGAAGACACAACTTCATTTACCAGCACAACCTGGGACAATGGAACATTCAATGAAACCACAAGTCACCCCCAGACCTCTCAGTCAACAACCGTCTTGAATCCTCTAACAAGGAGTAGTTTATTGACAACCACCACACCTGGCACTCACACTTCCTCATTTACAGCTGTGACAATGCCAGTAATCCAGTCCACAGCAGGTTACATAAGTACACCGGATACTTCAGTAATTACAACTGCAAATTCATCTAACACTGTCAATACAACTTCAGATTCAGTGGACAGAATCACACAAGGTAAGTATAAGGCTAGAATTTATTTATTAATAATTTAATTGCTCATTTCATGTTTTCGTTGAACTTCTGTCAATTACTTTCCCTGCCTTTTTGCTGTGCTACTAGGTTTTGGACTGGACATTTCAGAAAAGAACATGACCATTGTCTTCAGTGTTGCACTGGGAGTGTTCGGTGTGGCATTGGTTATATTTATGTTTCACAGATGCAAACAGAAAATCCAATACTTGCATCAGCCTCTTAACAACACTAATGACACAGGTAAGGAGCCACCCATTCATCATACAATCAATACAATCTATTTTGATAATTATTAGCAGTTAAAAATACCTATCTAATTTTCAACAGATGCATTCGTGGCAGATGATGATACCCTCATAATTTCCGGAGGACTTTATGATGGCCATCCGATCTACGATAATGTACCTACAGCCCCAGAAGACCAATCTCAATTTCGCCTTGAGTTCCTTCACTGAGGAGAGACAGCTAACTACAGTTTGAGATGTCACCTTTAATACATAACAGACATGGACACGGACATTTTTCCTCATCCACGAATTCATACAATTTCAAGACTGAAATTTCACATTGACATTTAAGCTCTTTATGAGAGGCTAATGTCTGAGAGGAAGAGAAAATGATGATGAGAAGAACATTCAAAAAGGAACAAAAAAGATCAATTTGAACATTACTTTTACTGATTTCACTGTCAACTCTAGGATAGATAAATATACTAAGAGAGTAATACATAACAACTACTCTTTCCCAACACCAACAATATGAACTTGTTCAAAATAGAGATTTCATGTGTATATTAGTTAAGATAAATTATTTCATAGAATAGAATTTATTGCAAAGTACTTAACATGGAGGGTAACTTCACTCAAAATCTATCTCCAAATCTCAAGCAAACTTGCTTAAAAGCTAGAACATGAACACCTAAATCTGCATGTCACAAACAATACTGTTTAACTGATCCATAACAATATTTTCTCTGCATGTAAAGAAATATATTTGCCTGTTACTATTATTATTATGTTATATTTAATCCCTAACAAAACCATCTATGTATGTTAAGATATCAAGTTTACTTGAGTATCAACTCCTAAACCTGTGTAATATTGCTAATACGGTTTATCTGACCTGTAACAGCACTACTTATGCAAAGATCTTCTCATTGTTTTTCTTCTTTTTCTTGTCACCGCGTGTCACTGCGGTCCAACCAGCATCTCTCATCCTTTTCATTGCAGCTAGCTTCAACAAGCTCCCTGGTGATTTAGTGACAGGGCTCTGGATCTGAATAAAAGTTGATGTAGTATAAATAAAAACTACAGGGCTTATTTCAACTTTGTCTGTGCATAAAATGCATAAAGATAATATCTAAATGGCATTACACCACTATGGAAGTGTGTTACCTTTTTGATGGTGTTGAGTTTACAGTGCGGAGCAGAAAAATTGAGCGTGGGTGCATTTTCAAAGGTCTGTCAGGAAGACAAATAGAAAGCCAAATCAGCTCTTCTGTCAATCTTGCACAAAAATCACATTAAATTCACAAAATCAACAGGCTGGTATGATACTGTATACTTCTGACCAATAAACTCTGAACCAATAAAAACACTTCTCACCAATAGATCATTTTGATCAGAGCTGTCAGACTTGGGGTCAAACTCAAAGGTGCTCTTCCCCCAGTGTGCTGCTTTTTCAGCGGAAGGTGGTGTCCTTATCCTGTAGGACTGCAAGTGAATTCAAAGAGTAAATGTCCGCAAAAGCCATTGATATTTTTATTCATTTTGGAAAATGTCAGAATGATACTGTATATTACTTTGATCTTTGATGTTCCGCCAACCCTGTTTGTCATACTCGGGGTTTTCAGGTCTTCAGTGTGAGCATCCTATGATACAAAGTCAGGGTCAGTTTTACTTAGAATGAATGCTACAGTAAACAGAGACACAGATTAAGCAAAAGATTATAGTTGTCTTAATTATCATTGCCATATTTACTTTATGAACAGATTAAACTGTCATCTACCTTGTTCTTTGGTGTTGTTCCACATGACTTTCTGAGGGATTCAGTGTCAGATTCCTGAACCATAAAAGACATGATGGTCTGAATATGTGATACACAGTATTTTTACTTAAACTTTCCTGAGCCTGAAAATGCCAATTAAAATTCCAGTAATAATTACCGAAGAATCGAAAATTAGTTATGACAGCTTGATGAGTTATTTTCCGACTCATCTCAACAATTTAGTATAAAGCTGAAATGAGACAATTTACTTTGCCTATCTAAAAACATTTGAGTAGATTAAACTCACAGCATTCTTCATAACTGCAGCACTTCCATTATCTTTGCAGTAGGAGGGAGTTTTCCTGGTCTTGGAGAATTCAAATATGCGTCTCTTTGAAGCACTGTCTTTTGGAGTCTCTGAACATCGTCCTTGTTTATAGTTTGAGGCAGGTGACTAGAATTTGAAGATTACTTCTTGGTTAAATGATGACAAACAACGTCATCAGTGGCAGCATATTTGCAGATGTACTGACTTTGTACCTGCTTGTTCTCTGCTTCTGACACCTGAGTGATTTCCATTGATGACATTTCTTTCTTCAAATCAGTTAGCTCCTTCTGCAGGTTTTCCTAATAGCAACGAAAAGTGTTTCTCAAAAGAAAAAAAGAACTGTCTCTCAAAAGTTAAAGCACATCCTGTTTCAGTAAAAAGCCAAAAATAAAACTATAATGGATTCTAACTGGGGCATACCTTCTTTGTTGTTTCAGTCTTCAGCTGTTTCTTCAACTGCTCATTTTCAGTCTTATGTTTTGAAAGATCCAACTCCTGATTTTAAGAATTTGATTTCAGACATATTAGGATATAACTGATTCATTATCTAACAGTAAATAGATAGTGATAAATCTTTATTTATAATTTTTTGCCTCATACCAGTGATTTCCTCTGGGACACAGCCTCCTTCTCTTTCTTCTTGTTCTCATCAAGCTCTGCATCCTTTTCTTCAACGATCCGGTCATACTGGCTCTAGTAAAGACAAGTCAAGTTCCTTCCTGGACTGACACTCATACTGTACAAGACCATTTTTGGACAGAATATACTTTATAATGACCTTACCTTGTGTTTCTCCATCAGTGCAACCATATCCGCTATCTTGTGTTGACACTTAAGTTCTGCATCTTCCTTATTCTTGATGGCCTCTGCTGCTGTTAATTTGATCTTTTGTACCTGTAAGACAAGATGATTTTATTCTTAATTTATATTCTGGGAGCTAAAAATATGCCAAATAACTTTGGTAACCTCAAGTAACAACCTCATTCTCAAGTTCTGCTGCAAAGGTGGATTTGTACTCAAGATCCTTGAGCAATTTCTGATGGATTTCCTCATTCAGTTTTTCAAGGTTCTGGGACTCATCATGAAGACTGCTGATCTAAAGACAAAAACAAGCATTTACATTAAACAGAGTATTACTTATTGGTTTAAATTTTTCCTATTGATATTACAAATAGATAAAAGATTAAAAAAAAAACATCACTATACCACATTTTCAAGTTGACTGGATTTTGCAATCTCCTTTGTTATTTGTTTCTTCAGTATTTTATTCTGAAAATATACAAGTGAACTGTTTAGCTAAATAAAAAACAAATCCATCTCAAGTATTGTATATCTACAGTTTCAATTTTTTCCCTGAGATTGCACAGATGAAAACAAAAAACAAAATATTTCTTGTTAGTTCCAGAAAATGGCCATCAATAATAACAGCATTTTTATTTGTGTTTTTTTTTAAATTACCTTTGTTTCAACAGCTTTGATCTGTTTTTCTTTTTCTGTAATTTTCTCCTGCAGATGTTCATACTATACAGAAAAAGCACAAAGAAAGCATTTACTACTTTCACAACAGGCATCATTATGAAGCATTGTGTGTCCATTAATGTCAAAAACCTCTGTCTCAGTTGACTTCTCCTTTAAATCTTCTTTTGCCTTTTCAGCAGCTTCACAAGCCTTCTTCAGTAGATCATTTTGAGCAAAGGCCATCTCTGCTTCATTCTGCATCAATAAAAAGGGCACATATTGATATATATATATATTATTTAAGGAATCTGGATTAGACTATCAAATAAACATCCTTTTTTCTGAGACGAAGCATCTGTTTATATCACCTTAAATAGTTTGACCTCTTCGGTTCTCTTTGAAAGCTTTGTTGTGAGTTCCTCCACTCTGACTTCAGTTACATCAATCTTACCCTTCATGGACTCAATGGATTTTAATTTGATGTCCTTGGAACACAACCACATAGAGATAAGATTACAACGAATGTGGAGTTTAGATTAAAATGAACAACTTAAAAAGCAAAGAAACTCTTCCTCAACTTTAAAACACATTTTACCAGTTCATCTCCAAGGATTTTGATCTGCCCATCTTTCTTTGCACTCTGGTCCATGGTCTCTCCTGTTGAGCAAAACATTTTCTTTTGGCTTGACAGAGCATCAAATAAAAATATATACATATTTCAGACAGTTAGACATACGTAAAAGTGTGTTTCTCCTTTCAAGTTCGTTGTTTTTTGCCATTAGTTTATCCTCCAGTTCTTTGGCCCTGGAAAATTAGTGCAAAGAATGAATAAAAATTTAATGATAGGAGGAAAAATTGCACTTGGTCTGGAAAATACTGTGAATTTTCAGGAGTTAATAATACCTCTGTATCTCTAGGGCTAATGAATCCTGTAGCTCTTTAATGGTTGTCTGAATCTGCTCCAGCTTCTCTGCTTGTTGATTTTTAACTCTGCTGAGCTCCTGCAAGCTTAAGTCTTTGCTTTGGATGATCTGTGCATATTCTTCTTTACTTTGTTCCAGGGCTGCAGCAATAGCTTCACGATTTTTCTTTAAGGGAGCAATAATGTCTCAGTCAAAGCAGATAGAACACAACAGAGCCCTGAGACTGACAAGAATCTTAACACACTCACCTGAGTTTCTTCATAGCTCTGCTCAGCAGTGTGCAGTTGTTGAAGAAGGGATTCCTGTTCAGCTTTTGAGCTTTTGAGAAGTTCATTTTGTTGATCTGTAAAGATAGTAAATATATGATGTAATCTTTGGTATCCTCAAAAAATCACGAATAAAACCATTTCAGTACTGTTCAAGTTCAAGTTCATTGAACTTGACTTGAACTGAACATTGGATAAAAAAATGAATAATTACAAGGTTATATATATTTTTCTGTCAAATGCAGTTACCCCAGAGGCCTAAGACTGCACAAAAAAGAATTAAGAAATGTTATAACAGATAGTTCAGAATTTAGAAAGCTAATGTTATCTTACTTGTTGTCTCTTGGAGTTGTTTGCAATGCTTTTGGGTTTCATGGAGGTCAAGCAGGACTTTCTCTAGTCCACTTTCCGTATTCTTAAGCTTTATCTGAAGCCCAGCCACCTGTGAATACAGCATCAGTCCTTATGTTTTGTTTCAAAACCTGTGGTTACATGTTACAAGTTCCCACATAAACTGG